ATATAGATATTTTTTTTTAATGTTTGTGTTGTTCAATATTTATGACTCATTTTGATTGTAACTGACTTGCTAGAAAGATATTTGACTATGTAACGTAGTCAATAAACTCACTCAACTTTACTTTACTTTACTCATAAGACAAAAAAAAACTCGAAAATAATCATCAGAATCGAAGGTGTTCTTAAAAACCGGTTAGAATACTTCAGCGACCTGACTAGAAATTCACTGGGTAGCACTCTCATTATGTCTGAAATCGAAATCTCGTCGGAATACTTTTTCGACTGAAAAGAAATAAAAGTAACGGCAGCAAAGAATAAGAACGTTCGCTTACTTCTATCAATAAATCTGAAAGTGCCGGAAAAGCCGGTAGAATTGGCCGTTTGTGAACCGGAGTGGAATTCCAGTACCAGTCCGGGACCAGAAGAATACAACACGGTGGGAATATCTGCGAGTCTTCCACACAAAAGTGTCTCCCAGGGGGTGTATTCGTTCACACCGGCGCTCTCCAAGTGCATGAAAACTTTCACGTAATCACCGTGGATGCATCTGAAACAAAAATGAGGGTGTTATTGCATCTCTTGAGTGCCGCGCATTTTGAGGGTGATACTGGTGTATCTACTCAAACTGAGAAACTATCGAGGGAAATGAAATCGGTGAATTATGTCATCGTGGTTTGGAGTAAGATATCCCAAGGGAGACTGACGGAGTGAAACATTGAATAGAAATTTATTCTAGTAAAAGCAGTCGATTTTTTCAATGAAGTGTTCATCCATCAAAATTGGAATGTTATAATGATAATAATAATAATTATCTTTATTGGGTGAAATAAAATATAATATCCAAGAGGCAAAGTTCAAAACTGCAGTGTAGAAGTCTACACCTCTATAGCCAGCTACGAGAACTGGCAACAAAAATATAACAAATAAAAAAACAAAAACACAACACAACAAATAAAAAGCAAAAAATAGAAAAGGAAATACATTATAAACCTGATATCGATCAGCATTCGAATGATAACAAGAAAAAATATAAATATGGATAAATTATTGAGTAGTCGAGTTTGTTTACCTACTAGTTCAATTTTTGATTTTTGCCTGAAAATACTAATTTTAAAATATTTTAAATGAGGGGGAAGTTTATTGTAAACGTTATTGTTATCATAAACGTATCTGATACGTAAATGATCGCTTGAAAAATTCATGATATGTGTACATTCTAGTTGTGTACGTCAGTCCGAAATGTAGTTTTATTATATAGAAAATTTTTTGCCAGAAAAATTATCCTATCAAATTTGTCTATTTCTAGTCATGTGTGTGGAAATAACCAATGAAACCATCATTACACTGATAACTACCCATGGATAGTTTTCACGGGTAGTTTATCAACGGAATATCATTATACGAATTGTTCTTTTAATAACTGTGTGTTCAATAAATAATTTTGTTCGAATTGCAAAAAATTTTCTCACCGAATATCCCTCGAACATTGATAAATAACTCATAATTTTATCACAAGTTCCTCAAGCACGTTATTTTAGGTAACATCCCTCCGCTTTCGGCGTCGGGATGTTACCAAATAACGTGCTTTCGAAAACTGTGATAAAATTATTTCGTTGGTTATCAATGTCCTTGGGATATTATAGCTGATAAGTCGGAATTTTATTGCAGGTAACCTTATGATAGATACACGCTGACTGTCGCGACCTTCGCTTTTTCATATTGAGCCAACAAGTTTCTGACAGCTTTGATGATATTCTGTATAACGTACCCCATGAATGAAGCGAAGGCAGGAGTTTTGAATCTTTTGTCTTTTCTTGCTCCTAATTGGGAGGCTTGGTCCATAAAGTACATCTGCATAGTTCAAAGATAAAAGAACGAAAGTGTCACTTGTGTTTTCAGGAACGAATTGTCGATTTCCATAAATCAGCTTGAGTGAGAGGTGAGCTTTCTGGATTGCATGCGATTGCATTAGAGTTTGTCGGGATCATGACTGATCCGCCCATTAGAGTCATTCAACCTGTGTGGTTCAAAATAATAATAGATTTGGGTGTCATCGGCATAGAGACGTATTGCAGGACTGAAGGCATTTCACTTATTGACTGGTGTATATCGTAAATAGGAGAGGGCCAAGAATTGGTCCCTGTGGAACTACTGTTTTTGAATTCAATGGTGTGGAATGAACTCCATCAAGAACAACTTCCTGGCGTCTGTTGTGTTGATAGTTTCGAAAAAAAAAAAAGAACTGAATCATCTATCTGACAAGCCAGTGTATTATAAGATTAACAATAGAAGCTCATGATTGGTGGTGTCAAATGCCCTGCTGAAATCTAGTGAAGGTAGGACGGTACATTGATTTCGATCACTCCCATTGAAAATATCATAAGTTACCTTCAGTAGAGCTGTAGTAAAGCTGTGACCACGCGTAAAATCCAACTGTCTTTTGGTAGCAGTTTATTACTATCTAAGTGGGGGCGAAGCTGTTCTATGAATTTTTCTATTACTGTAGAGCAAGCAGGAAGGATGCTGATGGTCTGTAGATCTTTCAGTTATACTGAATTATTGATTTTTGGTATTGGAGAAAACAAGATGAAAACAATCAATGTGAACAAAAAATTTACCTCATCATTTTGACTTCAACAAAAGGCATTTAAATATACCAAGCATCTCAAACAAATTGAATTCTTTCGACATCAGCAATTACTCCAAACTCTATTCATATATTACCAGAACCAAAATGTTCCTATGAATACCTATCTTCTAGTAGCCAGGCGGTCTTATGTGAGTGCTTTGTTCACTTAGTCAATCGGCCGATGTGTGAGTCGATGGTTCAAGCCGCATGCTGAACGCTCGATTTTTACCTGCTATCGTCCAACCCGTGTTAGGAATCACACGTTAAAAGGTAAGACTTCGTAAGTCCTTAACTCGCACAAGTTTCGACTTGTTCGACTTGTCCTGCACGATTGCCAAAAAAATAATGTACTCAACACGTATGAAAACAGTTTTTTGAACTCGCAGACTCTCACGATTCTACAGCTCGTCCCAGAGTTTTGTCTACTCGTGCAAAAAAATTACAGTATTTTACGAACTCTTTACGTAAAAATAAATATTTTCAAAGGCAAAACACAAGCACTGCAGAAAAATCCTCAAGGTACTCTGAGAGCGGTGCCTGTGCGAAAGTAGCGATACACATTGGATTTGAATCGTTGGAGATTTAATCAGGATTTGATCAGGATTTAATCAGGAAGTTCATTTCACATAAACGCAGTTATCAAAATGGAGAAGGTTTTAAACAGTGAAGTTCGAGGTGTATTGAGTTGAACCTCATAACGGTGAGCAGCCACAGTCCGTCGTGTATTTCTGATACGTATCGCTCTTGGTTGAATCAAATGTGCCAAGTCACCTCTCGTGAAAGTATCTATAAAAGAGAGAAACCTCCAACATTTCTTCGATGTTCCACATTATCAAGGTTGCAAGTAATATTCGTGTGATATTAATTGTGAAGTGATGATTTTAAGGGATAAAGATATTGTATTTTATTGAATTGTATTGTATGATCAGGTCGGTGGGTCTTTTTTGGACGGAATTCAACAGCTTCAGGGTATGCTTAGGAGTGTTGCTACATACATGAGACTAATACTCTAAAAAAGTCTGATCTGAGCTTTATGAAGGTTCGAAAGTTGCTGAGGTGTGTACACTTCTCTGGTTCGGAACAGTGTTCAAAACTTTTGAGAAGCAGCCATTGTAATTTCAGCGACATGATTGTGTCAAGACATATTGGTGTCCATTTTAACCCCTAACAAACTCATCGAAGCAGAAAGCGGAATTGTCTGTCCTTATATTATTATATCTGATTCATAAACATTTATCTTTTTGGAGAAAACCGATCCCTGGGTTTTCGTGGCATTGAATTGAACCTGGTCATTTTGTGGTTTGTTTCTTGTAGATGTTCGTACATAGAAGATTTTTTGTCTACACCGACGTGTTCACGGAGTCTTACTTCGAAATTTCTGCCGGTCTGGCCTGTATATACTGCAAAGCATTCATTACATTCTATTTTATATATGCCAGATTTCTTCATTCTGTCACGTCTAGGTTTTGCATTGAATATGACTTTGCCTAAATTATTATTACTTATGAAAGATGTTATTATGTTGAATTTGGAAAAGTGATTTTGAGAATACTTGAGAATGGTGTAAAAACCGAAACCTTGGTCGTATTAATATCAATACATCAAGTAAGTGGAAATTAGACAAAGTATTTTATTTCTATATCTTTATCATTCAATTCGAAACATCATTGTTTTCAAAAAATAAAAGTGTGGCTAGGTTAGGTTAGGTTAGGATAGGGATCATTACGGTAACAGGTACCAAAATGTTCGATGTATCGGTCGCAAAGATATAAAAAGTATTATGACTTATTGAAAATAATTATTTTTTATGAAACATTGATGACTTTTTACGAGTACGACACGCTCATAAACAAATTAGTTAGTACAACTATTCGAAATAAGGTTGAAGGTAATTAGGGGTTGTCGACTTGCCTGGGTACCATCTTCTTTTCAGTCCTTGAATAAAATGCACAGTTTGCTCGATGTATTTGACAGAAAAATCGTTGATATTCAAGTAAACGTAGAACACTCTATCATTTAGGTAATGACTTCATCGGTAAGTGTAGCCTACAATATTCCTCAAAAAACGTTGAGCAATATCTATTAAGGACGGATTCCTAAGGAGGGGGGTGATGTGGGTGGTTACACCTCCATCAACTTTTGAAACTGATATTAAAGGTAGAATCGGAACCTCTGGAGTAAAATAAATCCAAAACATGTACTATTTCTGAATACCAGGACTACATCATTCATTTCGCCACAAGTTTCATCAACCAAGTTAGCATATATTCAGGAGATGAGGTACACCAATTTTTGACTCTGAATCTGGTGTCTATTCATTTCTAAAAGAGTTCCTGCCAATTCCAACAGAGCTATTCATATGAAGATGAACAATGTAATATTTGGAATGGGACCTTTTTCACTGTGGAATCTACAAAACCTGTGCCCATTTAAAAAAAAGAAACATCTTTTCCTAGTGACCCCAATCTTGAATAGCAGGAAACCGTTTTACTCGATATTCTCCGTATACGAAAATGAAAGTTTCCCCACTCTCTTTATCATAAATGATTTACACGGTTTCCCTTGTCAGCGGAGGTCGGCCAATATTGTCATGTTTAGGAAAAAGCGTCATGCATAACAAATGAGCGTCAAACTTTCGGCGCGCATGTCTTGACTTGGTAAATTCCCAATTTTATTCGATCTCGGGTGAATTTTGATGATGGCATTTGCTGAAGGTATTTTTATGAGTTGAAATATATTGCCGGTATTGGAAATGAGTATGATGGAGATAAGGCATGAGGTTACACCAAGAAAATTTCATACAGCGTTCCTTTACGAATGCAAATCATTTGAAATAAACGAAAACATAAACAAAATAATGTTTTGAGAGATAAACCTTCAGACTGTCACAAAAATAAGTTGATTAGATGAATTCCTTT